TAGCTATAACTACTCAATGAAAATACTGAAAATATCCTGAATCTGACTCTTCAATTCTACGCCGTCGTCGCCGTGATGAAGCAGGGGGTATATCACAGTAGGACACTCTCTTCTAATTATTATCTACTCTTGTTATCATGGATGTACAGTAGAATGATTCTTATAGTTCAATCAAATACTATTATGATTCTTTTCATTACTTTATTGTAGCGTTTCCAGAAATTCTCCAAAGCAGCATACTCATGGATTACCTTTGTAAAGGAATCTAATTTAACCATTATGACGTTATGAGGAGATTACCCCTGTTAGTCCATCCTTATCACGCCTATCCTGCAATGCTGCAATGTGCATCTCTTCTTCTGGAGTCAGTGATGTCGAATAAAATGGTAAAACCTTCATAATGATCAATGCCAATAAATGAAGGATAGATAATGGCAATTGGACTGTACCTTTTCTTCTTCTGTTTCAAGTTTTCTATTCATTTCTGTTAGCTTTAGAATCTTTTCTCCCTATAAAGCATCTTTGTAGTGATACGGTTATTTTTCTAGTATTATATAATCACCATAGCTTGCTGTTTCTCAAGTTCCTTGATTGCTTCATTGCTTTGTATTGTGAGTTTAGTCAGATTACTCCTACCAATAAAAGAGAAAGATAGAAAAAAGAGTAAAATTACAGTAAATACTGTATAGTGGAAAACTTTGGAGAGAATTAAATTTGGTGAATTTCGTACTTGATAGCCATTCATCAAAATAAAAATCTGCCATTTTGAGCCATTATACGCATGCTCCATGGCACGTGGTCACAAATTTGCCAAATTAAAATTCGCCAATCACCAAAATTTAGCAATTCACCAAATTTTAATCCCTCCAAAATTTCCCGCTATACGGTATCAAACAATACAAGTCTGCACTATGTATTCACACCTTTCATTTTCTCTGGATTTTATCATTTCTGCCTTTAGTTCACGAAAATGAGCAAGTACTGTCTCCCTGTCATTCCTAATTGCTCTTAATCTTATTTCTGTCTCTTTTGAATTTGAGCTCAATTTCGTTTTAACATCACCGATGGAGTCCTATAAATACAATGATAATAAATTATACCATTATTTCATGTGCATATTTGATACAATATTAAATAAAATATAGCTATGCATGTACATGCAAGTACCTGAAGTTTCTTCAGTCGTTTCATTTGTTTGGCTATTTCTCTTGCGTTGCTTTCATCTTTCTTCTTAAGTGCCTCAAATCTTAGTTTCTTCTCTTCTGTGTTTTCTTTGTATTGCTTTGTCTCCTAATGAAAATAGAACATTATCATAATACCAGTACATTGTATCTTGCCTTCTGTAAAAAATGTCTGCATACAGTAGATGCACAAGCAAATTATAATTAAGGCAAACTTTTCTGCTTCTGTGTACATGGAGTACATACAGTACAGTACATGCACATATATAAAGCTAAAAGTACCTCCAAATTTCAGTTATGAGTTGTGCATTACTAGAAAAGCTTACTTTCTGAAACATGTCCCACAATTCGTCAAGAGTAGCTTTCCTCTGCGCACTAAGAGCATGTGTCTCCTCAAGATTCTATATACCAACACAATTTAGATAGCATCAACAAAGAATCAATATGAGAATGTACATGTACATGCATACATACCTTGTTTTTCAACTCATCCACTAAGCTTTGGAACTCCTGCTGAGCCTCAGATTCCCTCTCGTTAAATCTTAATTCCATCGCATACAGTATATCGTGAAGGTCCTTCACTTCTTGATCATGATGGGAAACAGTTGCAAACCTGCCATTCTCTTAGTTAATTTAATGCCATACAAAATGATTTAATGGTAAGTGTAATATATATTTTGGCAAATTTGACTGTGGAAAATTAATTGGCAAATTTAATATTGGTGGTGATTCTGTGCCAGATTGAAACAAAATGACAATATTGGAAATTTCTTCATAAAATTTTCAATTTACATGTAGTTCAGTGCTTTCTACAAGTGTATCACTGTGCATTAGAAAATTCTCAAGGCATACATTGTAGCTCCCAGTAATGGCTGCTCACCTCTCTTTATCAAACTCTGCCTTTAAAACATCCAAATCTTTCTGGAAGCCATTCTCCAAGTCGCTAATTCTTTTCTTTTGGAAACCTGCAATGATCATAGCATAAGCATACCTGTACATAAACTATGGCTCCTTTACTTAGCAGCTCTTCCATGTTCTGTAAATGACTCCTCAAAGCAACTTCATATCTTTAATAACAAATAAGTAATCTTTTCCCTTTCTTATATTTCTTACTGTTCGTTTGCTTCTTCTAAGTCTTTAGCTAATGATTTGATGACTGCATCTTTACGATCTACAATCCTTTCAAACGTTTCTCTCATCACTTGGCAATCTTTTTTTAGTTCCTCCAATTTCGCTGCACATTACAAGAATGAATTAATGATAATATTACGTAATAAAGACAACAAAATTAGTCTAATTATCCAAATATTAAACAACAACAGTGCAACAATAAGCAAAAAATAGCATGCAAAATAAACAAACAAATAACATCAAAATAAACAAACAACATCAAAATAAACAAACAAACAACATCAAAATAAACAAACAACATCAAAATAAACAAACAAACAACATGATAGAGTACTGCAGTCTGCATACCTTTCCTCATTATGTTCCTCCATTGCTCTTGTAGTTTCAGTATGTTTAGTTTAGTGGACTGTTCCTCTTTGCTCAGTTTATCCTTAAGGAATCGGTTCAACATTTCTTCTTTCTTCCTCTTAGACTCTTCCTCTTCCAATCTCTGCTGCTCTAGGTATGCTGCCCTCTCCTCCTCGGACATTTTAGCTAGTTTCTTTGCTGTCATTTTCGCCATCTTGAATGTAAATGGGTTGCTATGGTAACTGAACTAAAGGCGTGGTCACTTAAAATTTGACTCCGCCCAATTTTAAATTAATAACTGCATTGCATTTTAATAACCAGCCACTCCTCCTTTGAAAATCAGCCTCTTCAAGTTCTCTGTCAGTCAGGCTAAAAATCATTAGAAAAAATACATGGAGAAGAGAAGAGTGGGAATAGTAGGATTTGGTAGTTTAGGTGAGTTCAAACTCCTAAAAATAAATTTAGAATTTAATCTCCACTCATTGTTTTATCATTGACTTTATTAAATGTAGGTCAGTATCTTTATCATGCTCTACAAGACTCTAAGGATGAATATGAGATTGCATTTGTTTGGAATAGATCAGCTGAGAAAATGAGAGGCATTGTTCCACCTGAACTAATCCTTAATGATCTCAAATCTTGCCATTCAAGGTAGAAACTACACTCATTGCATTGCATCTCTAACTATACAACTGCAATAATCTAGATCTCCACATATTATCATTGAAGTGGCTCATCCATCAATATCTGCTGAATATGGTCCATTGTTCTTGCAATCTGCTGATTTCCTTGTAAGGATTATTGTTTAGTCTTCATGCTAAAAGCTTTTCTATAGATTGGTTCACCTACTGCATTGGCTGATGATGAAGTAATGAAGAGGATAAAGGGAGCATGCACTGGACATGCACTGTATGTACCAGTTGGAGCTCTATGGGGTGGACATGATATACAGAGAATGGCTGATAGGGGAACACTAAAAGTACATAGATTAATTGATAATTGCAATGAATTTCTTACTTATTGTAAGGGGCTTAAGATTACAATGAAGAAACATCCCTCCATGTTAAAACTTGCTGGATCTCTGCATGATAAACTGCAGCAAGTGAAAGATGCTCCAACTTTACTGTATGAAGGTAATATGTCTTGATGAGCATCAGACCCCTTGTTTGATATTAAATTTTATCAGGCCCAGTAAGGGATTTGTGTCCTCTTGCTCCATCGAATGTCAACACTATGGCAGCTGCATCCATTATGGCTCATAATCTTGGATTTGATCAAGTTATTGGATGTCTTGTTGCTGATCCCAGGTAATGTAATGATAGTCCATTTTAATTCATCATCTTTCTCTAGTCTCAATTGCCATGTGATAGAGGTGGAAGTGCGAGGTCCAGGTAGCCTCGATAATCATTTCAGTGTACAGACAGTCCGCTCTAATCCAGCAGCCCCTGGAGCTGTCACTGGCAAGCAAACTCATATCTCATTCCTCAGCAGTTTGCTTGGTACATTGCAATAGTCGCATGTTAGTTATTTTTTTATTGTTCTATTTCCTTTATAGCTGCACAAAGTCGTGGGCCAGGCATTCACCTTTGTTAAACTCTTATTAATAATAAGTGATCTTTTAGTTTTTGAAATTACATTCATTGTAATATTTTTCCTATGTAGCTGTATTTAGATTTAATTGTGACAATAATGGGCACACTATTGATTTAAGTGAATGACTGCATGTGCAATGAGCAGTTAGCAATAAGAATGCTACGTGTATCTTTTGAGCAAAATTTTGCACAGGCTTTGTTCTGGCATGGTATGGACCAACACAAAAACCAAATAAGGAATTGGGTAATGTGTTAGATATGCTCATTACTAGATGGTCACTGATTTGTTTGGCTGTGGCCAGACTAATCACCTACAAAACTATGGTAGTTTTGTAGTATCTGTGGTCATATATATGTGGCTGCAATACATTCCTGCAGTCAAATTACTTTGGAAGAGATTGTTTTTTGAAATAATGGAGAAAAGAAGAGTGGGAATAGTTGGATTTGGTAGTTTAGGTGAGTTGCTTCAATTGTAGCATTTATTATAAAAACAACCTTTATCCAGGCCAGTATCTTTATCATGCTTTACAAGACTCTAAGGATGAATATGAGATTGCATTTGTTTGGAATAGATCAGCTGAGAAAATGAGAGACATTGTTCCACCTGAACTAATCCTTAATGATCTCAAATCTTGCCACTCAAAGTAAAATAAGTCATGCAGAAATAAGAATAAGTATTATTTGTGAATTCAGTCCTGTTTATATAAAAGTTAATGCTTGGTTTACTGCATTTCATGTTGTTACCAAAGTCTCCATTCTGCTTTATAGATCTCCACATATTATCATTGAAGTGGCTCATCCATCAATAGCTGCTGAATACGGTGCCTTGTTCTTGCAATCTGCTGATTTCCTTGTAAGCTTTGTGTCAGTTCTATCACATTTACACATTCTTTCATTAATTAGATTGGCTCAGGTACTGCATTGGCTGATGATGAAGTAATGAAGAGGATAAAGGGAGCATGCACTGCACATGCACTGTATGTACCAGTTGGGGCTCTGTGGGGTGGACATGATATACAGAGAATGGCTGATAGGGGAACACTAAAAGTAATAATATTTTTTCTTTTCCCCCAATTTCATGTTGATATATAATAACCGTGCATGATATAGGGACTTAAGATTACAATGAAAAAGCCTCCTGCTGCATTGAAGGTTGTTGGCCCACTGAAAGATAAACTAGAGCTAGTGAAAGACACCCCACTTGTACTATATGAAGGTAACAGTGACATGAATGGTAGCTAATTTCAATTTGGCAATAGCACCTATGAGTACTATATGCTCAAAAATTAATTTCCTAATTTTCCTATAGGTCCAGTTAAAGATCTTTGTCCCCTTGCTCCATGCAATGTCAACACTATGGCAGGAGCATCCATAATAGCACATAATCTTGGATTTGATCAAGTTATTGGTTGTCTTGTTGCTGATCCAAGGTAATGTAACATTCATTAGGCTAGTTTTTGTTTCAGTCGCAATAGTTTGACCTATCATGTTGTTGAGGTAGAGGTGAAGGGTCCTGGTAGCGATGAGAATCATTTTAGTGTTCGAGTTACTCGTTGCACACCAGCAATTGTAGGAGAAGTCACAGGAAAGCAAACATTTTTTACTTTCCTCAGTAGTTTATTAGGTAAAAATATAAAAATAATATTGTAATTTTAATTTTTATTTGCAGCTGCAAGAGATAAAGGGCCTGGCATTCACCTTTGCTAAAAAAGCATCAAAACTTGACTAAATAAACTTACTTTAAAACTTGATTAAATAAACTTACTTTAAAACTTGATTAAATTAAATTAATTAAATAATAGAATAGCAATACCCAGTCTTAGCATGGTAGTAAAGAATAAAAATCAGGCGTACATTATGACAATTAAAATAATAATAATTTTCGAAAGTAGTCATTAAAATTAGAATTTATTAGCAGCAAAATAGGAGCGGTGGTCTTAAACTTGGATGATCCTTCCCTCCAAGTGTTTTATTTCTTCCTCAAGAACTCGTGTCACTTTGAGGACCTCTTGAGCCTCGGGGACGTCCATCTTCTCTAAAGCAGTTCGAGCAGCATCACGGACAACAGATATAAAGTCGTTACGCCTGGGGAAGAAAAAATGGAGGAAAAATTAATGAGTGAAAAGAGGGAGGGGTGGGGGAAGGTGTGTTTAGAAGAAATAATATGAAATCAATATGCTTGATGGGGGAATTAAAAATGTGAGAGTGAAAATATCAGAAACTAGAGAGAAGACGAGAAGAGAGGTGTTGTAGAATTGACTTAATTACCATCTGTCTGATATTTTTGGAATAGCCTTCACAGCCTTTAGTGATCCCAGTGAGAGACAGGCGCTCTGTCTAACAATCCTGTCTCCATCTTTAAGCTGGTCAATGAGGCGATCAATCACCATCTCATCTTGAATCCCAGTCCGACCCAAAGAAATGGCTGCCACCGCTCGAATGTTTGGATCGTCGTCGTCAAGGAGACGCAATAGAGCCTCAATGACAGCTGGGTTCTGAAACTTACCTAGAAGTAAAATAAAAAATGTAAGACAATTAATACTTGAGCCACATTTCATCAAAATTAAAAGGAGAGAATTCTTTATTTTTATAGTTTTATCTGATGCATATACAAGTTCTTATGTTGCGTAGAAAGTTTGAACTAATTCTGATCAAGTTTGAATTTTTTACAAATTTTTAACGTTGTTCAAAATTTGGGTGAAAATAGCTAGGAGAAAATTCTTCACTTTTATTACATTTTGAGATCACCAATAACCATTTGTTACTAGTTATTCTTACCAAGGTTTTCAACAGCTGTCAGACGCACAGTGGACTGCATGTTAAAGACTTCCTGCATGTTGAATTTCTCGACTGCAATCTGACGAACAGTTCGCCAAAAAGTGTGCTTTTCTTTGGAGTCGCCGCGAATCTGCATGAAATGGTCTTTAGTGATCTCCTCTGCTCCTCCAAATATGCTGGAATGAAGCACTTCATCTAGCAACCACTTGATACGATCTTCTGTGAATAGATCTAAAAGAGAGAAGAGAAAGGAGGAGGGAAAAAGAAGTGATAAAGTACAGCTGTTTAAATAGTAAAAATGAAAGCATATTGATTTTACCAAAAATAGCTTTATTATCATTATGTTGAGCAAACAGTACACAGATACATAAGAGGCTAAGAGCAGTGATTATTACATGTATTATGTATTATTATATGTACTATTATATGCCTTATTATATGTATTATTATATGTATTATTATATTATTTTTTATTACTTTTCAGTTGGGCATCATATTCATTGATGAATGCTTGCTGGAATCTAAACCATGAGATGGAATCACTTGTATCGAAGCTCCTCTCCCAAAAGGTGTCTGAGACCTCTATTGGTGCTAATTCAGAAAGACTAGACAGAGAGAGAGAAAGGGAAAGGGAAAGAGGGAGCAAAAGGGAGGGAGAGGGAGAGAGAAAAAGAGAAAGAGAGATCGAGGGAAAGAGAAAGAGAGAGGGAGCAAAGTAAAAAAGAAAGAGAAAGGAAAGAGGTTGTAAAGAGAAAGGGAAATGATTCCAAGCATCTAATATTTCTTGCAACAAAACCTTACGTTGTCTGTGTCCTAAACTTTGTGTTCATTCTCAGTCGACGCATTTGAGTAGGAGCAGCTGATTCCAAGGGCTGCTCCACTTGTACCTCAACAGTCTCAGTAATGGGAGCCTGATACTGTTGGACTTGAGTTATGAACTCCTTCATGAGATCATCACTTGGTGTGCCGGGAGAATCGAACATCATCCAATGGAGCTGCTCTAATGTTAGCTTACTGGGGGGGAGAGAGAGGGGGGGAGAGAGAGGGGGAGAGAGAGAGGGGGGAGAGGGGGAGAGAGAGAGGGGGGGAGAGAGAAATATAAAAAAGTATGGTAGTATAGGTTATACACCGAGGTCGAGGTTTCTATGGGATTTATTGACCGAGGGACGCAGTCCCGAGGTCAATAAATGCCATAGAAACCGAGACCGAGGTGTATAACCGTGTTCTACCATGCGTCCAATCAGATTAGATGCATTTCTTGTAGCTAGGATACACAAGAAGTATAAAAATCCTTACCATTAGCAACCAATTCATTTTAAGTCACACACTAAAATGGAAAAGCAACTAGGTAGACATGCTCGTCTGTTCTCAAAAGATGCGACTCACACAGCCGCCATTGATAGCTCTGGAAACGACTATCTCATCATATCATATCATTTTATGACTGCCCCGCCTACTTCATTAGTGCTATATACCATCTTGTTTCGCAACGGACAAGGATTTAAAGATGCACAACAGCACTGTGCGCCATGCACAACTAAAAAAGCAATATAATGGGTAGAAAATATTCTGAATGACTGGTGCAAGGAAAGAATGAAAGATTTTGAAAAGCTCCAACCAGGCCACTCTTCTTAATGGAGAAATACTGTTTAAAATGTTTGCTGCAGCAACTGGGGAATCGATGGTTACAAACAAACCACTCACTTTGCGGCGTGACTGCTGCTACTAGACTATTTCAAGCTGGTGTTGATGAACAATTAATCATGAAAAGAACAGGTCACAGAAGCACAGATGGTGTACGAATTTATAAGCACATTTCAGATCAACAAAATGCCGGAAGACGTTTCCTCAATAATATTATTATTACAAACAAAAACAGCAGTAGCTAGTGACGATATACCAATTCACCTCATCTTCCAAAAGCACAAAACGTATCTCTAGATGAAGACAGACACTTCAGCTTTAATAACTGCACAAACATACACATAACAATTCAAAAATAACATTACTATTATTGCTGTCATCATTTTTATTCCTAAAATTTCCCAAACTTTGGCAGAAGTATCTAAATAATTTCCCGGAGGTTTCTAAATAATTTCCCGGAGGTTTCTAAATATTTTCCCGGGGTATTATAAGTGATTTAGACACCTCATATAATGCAATCTGATTGGTCAATTCAAAACAAGCATGGTAGAATGTCTGTTAAAGTGTATGTTCAAGTTATAATTAAAGTAGGAAAAGTAATATGACAAACTAAAACTAAGAAGTATTCTTGATATAACAAAACTGACTAAAAGTATTGCCGACAAAAGATGAGTACATGTAGCCAAAATTAACTATTAAATTACATAACTTTATAATTGTACTTGAACCAACAATTATTAGATGTATTGCAGGAGGGGAATTTTACACAGTGACAGATATTATGAAGTTTAAAGTTTAATTGCATTGTAGCACTTTCTCCCAACTAAAATTGAACCACACAATGTAATTATCATAACAAGATGACTTAACAAAATTCTTTAGACTATTCCCCAATTACTCCTCAAACCTAATCTTAATGCAACTCCTAATGTACACTTTTATCTCTCCCTTTAACACTTTATCTCGGTCTTTCTATCTCTTCATCTCTATTTATAGTTAAGCAATCAAAGGGAACCCCTATACTTATTAAAAGCCATAATGTGTAGCAGTAACAGCAGGGTTAACTAATAAAAACACTTAGCAAGACAGCATAGCCATAACTATGTACGATAATTACTGATTATATCAAGAGTACATAGACAACATGTAATATTATACTATTAGCATCATTATATACTGTATCATGATTATCCCTGCTGATATTTCATAGGATTCATTCCACTATTATTTTTAATGTGTGAATTTCTTCATCTGTACTTTCCCCTTCTAATATTCATTATTATACTAGTTGAATTCATGATTTAGTAATAATGACCTTAACTTTACTGTTTCCCCCCCTCTCTCTCTCTCTTTCTCCTCTCCAAGCTTGCACTTACAGTCCAAAGTTCATGCTTTTGACAATGTCCTCTTTGCTATTTCTGGCAATCAGTAAGATTGGCTTGTTAGAAATATAAGCCAGGGAAACCTGATCGCTGCACTTGCTATTAGTAACAGATTCGACACTTAGTATGAAAATGAGGAGCTACAAGAGAGACAGACAGACAGACAGACAGAGTGTAACGATTTAATTTGTGTTAACAGTCTTGTACCTTTGCATCGACAAGCATTCGTGCAACAGTTTTTGTGTCTTCCTCAGCGAAAGAAGTGTTACTATAAATAGAATACTTCTCTGCTTTGACCTTGTCTGAACAGGACAAAAATAATAATAATGATGATGATAATAATAAAATTAATTAAATGATAATAAAATAATAATTACCTGTCAGTAGGTTAGAGAGCTCCTTATCTGAAGGTGCTCCACTTAAGACAACATCCACAGGCTGCAATTCAGGAGCTGGAGTTGGGGCAGGAGCTATGTAAGTAAAGAAAAAATTTTAATAAAAAATTAAAAGCTATTTTTCTACCTGGAGCGGGTGCCTTTTTCTCTGGAGCAGCTTGAGGCGCCAGCTTGGGCTTAGCTGCTTGCCCTCCATCTCCACCGCCTCTCTTGCTCTGACCGTTTCCCATTCTACAACTCTTTTCTTCGCTTTCAGGAGAAGTGCAAAAAAGCAGGGGCGAGCACTTCTTAAAATTAAAATTCCAACAAAAACCACGCCCCTGTGCAGTAACTGGGCGTGGTCCTGTGTTTTATTAGATGACCCACGTTTTATCACGTTTCTGCATCCGGTTTGATTTATTAGAAATAATAGTTAATTAACCAACAGTGATTTGAATAGATAGAGGGGTGAAGAAATAAATGGCAGAAAAACCCGAGGAAAAACCAGAGCCTCCAGAAGCCTCTAGTAGCCTCCCTTGCAGCTCAGAGAGCACCAGCGTCTCCCTCGTCCACGGAACTGAAGGACGACGAGAAAGGGTGGCGGTATGGGTCAATCCAGTACCTCTTGATGGAGGGATTCTCTGCTCTGGTGAAAAAGCATCCTCGAAATTTAGTTTCTCTGTAAGACTAGCTATTGCTTCAATTGCATTAACTTTTAAAAATATTTTTAGCATTTAAAGAAAATTGTAACATATGCAAGGAACAAAGGAAAGCATTCATATCCATGGCTTAGGTAAGAGCTTGGATAGTATTTAAAATACAGTAGCAACAACATAATTTCGAAAAAAATTATGTTGATTTTTTTCTAGTTTTTCAATTTGGCATCACATTGCTAAGAACAAGCTCCACCTTTCTGATGAAACTGCGTGGCTGTAAGTTTTATAGACATATTTGTATCAATTTAAATTATTATGATTAATTAATATTGGGAGTGGTCAATCATTAATTTATTGTGTTAGGTATTTTGAGACCTTTGATACGGTTTCTGATGTTGATATCAGCGAGAGATTAAAATTAGTTAATCTCCTGAGCAAATGTCCATCAGACGAAGATGTTGGTAAGAGATTGAACAGCATTTCTTTATCCCTTTCTCCCCCCCTCTCTCTCTCTCAACTCTCCTACTTTTAAAATAAGAGACATAATTTTGTTTGCTAAAATATAAAATGTTTGTCATTTTGCTTGATAGTTGTGTGTTGCAATGTAAGAGGATTAGGTGATAAGTCATACCATAGATATACTACACAAATGAAGGTATAGTGTAGCCTCTAAAATAAGAAGCAATTAAGAACACCTTCATAATGAAGACATTGATGTCCCAATTAGTAGAAGCCTATACAAAAGTACCTCTGAAATGAGGACACCTCTGTATTAAGGACAGGTAGTGTGGGCCCAATGGTGTCCTTAATAAAGAGGCTACACTGTACATGTATTAAGGACAGGTAGTGTGGGCCCAACGGTGTCCTTAATAAAAAAGACTACACTGTACATGTATTAAGGACAGGTAGTGTGGGTCCAATGGTGTCCTTAATAAAGAGGCTACACTGTACATGTATTAAGGACAGGTAGTATGGGCCCAATGGTCTCCTTAATAAAAAGACTACACTGTATGATTCTTGTCGGTCCTTACTCTTTCTTTTCAGATAGGCTCCATAGACAAGTTTGTGTTGATACTCTAAAGTTTATCGTCTTTCTTTATCTTCAAAATGCACCACGGCTTTCCCTCTGTGCCCCACTTGTCACTGGCGAGGAGTATCCTTATTCCATGCATTCATTTTTGTTGTTGTTTATCGTTTGTTGTTTATTGTTTGTTGTTTATTGTTTGTTGTTTGTTGTTTGTTATTGTTGTCTTAACTTTTTTATAAAGATGGCCTTCCCCAGAAACAGACAAAAAACTAAAGGTCAGATTGCCATAATTATTGATTATTATTATTATTATTATTATTATTATTATTATTATTATTAATTATTATTAATTATTACTATTATTATTAATATTATTATTATTACTATTATTATTATTGCTATAATTATTATTATTTTATTTTATAGTCCTCATCTGATCATGCGCATTTGGCTTTTGTTCGTGGACATTTACACGAGATACTTCAGTTGTTATCAAATGCAGGTACAATAGAAATGTATATACCTGAAGTCAAAAAAGTATAGCCCATGGTTTTTTCTAAAAATGGCTCCGAAATCACCCCAAATTTTTATTAGATTTTCTGATACATATTGATGTCCTTATGCTGTGTAGAAAGTTTGAGCTGATTCCAACTTCAATTTTTCAAGTTACAGCCATTTTAAGAAAACGTCAAATTTCTGAAAAATACCCAAGGCTATAGCCCATGGTTTTTTTCAAAAAATGGCTCCGAAATCACCCCAAATTTTTATTACATTTTCTGATACATATTGATGTCCTTATGCTGTGTAGAAAGTTTGAGCTGATTCCGACTTCAATTTTTCAAGTTACAGCCATTTTAAGAAAATGTCAAATTTCTGAAAAATACCCAAGGCTATAGCCCATGGTTTTTTCTGAAAAATGGCTCCAAAATCACCCCAAATTTTTATTAGATTTTCTGATACATATTGATGTCCTTATGCTGTGTAGCAAGTTTGAGCTGATTCCGACTTCAATTTTTCAAATTATGGCCGTTTAAAGAAAATGCCAAAATTTTGAAAAAATCACTGTACTATAGCCCATGGTTTTTTTCAAAAAATGGCTCCGAAATCACCCCTAATTTTTATTAGATTTTCTGATACATATTGATGTCCTTATGCTGTGTAGCAAGTTTGAGCTGATTCCGACTTCAATTTTTCAAGTTATGGCCATTTTAAGAAAACGTCAAAATTCTGAAAAATACCCAAGGCTATAGCCCATGGTTTTTTTAAAATGGCTCCGAAATTACCCCAAATTTTTATTACATTTTCTGATACATATTGATGTCCTTATGCTGTGTAGAAAGTTTGAGCTGATTCCGACTTCAATTTTTCAAGTTACAGCCATTTTAAGAAAACGTCAAAATTCTGAAAAATACCCAAGGCTATAGCCCATGGTTTTCTCCAACTTAAAATATCCAGACTGAAATGAAAGTTGATATGCTTATCCTGTTAGATGGTATGATTGGAATGGAAGGTGTAAGAGCACTAGAATTTCTACTTCTGTCATCAACTGATAAACAATCACACACTCCTCTCACTTCACTCTCACTCCAGCCTAATGAGATAACCAGTAATGGATTATTAGAAGTAAGCAGGGAGATGGAGATTAAAGAGAGAGGGAGGAGAATGTGATATGAGGGAGAGAAGTTAAATTGGGACTCAGAAAATTTGCCATTGGCCCACAAGCACAATGTCAATTTCCTTTAAAAAAATTCACAAAATAATAATGTTGCTATTTTTTTAAATTGGAGCAAAACTTGAACGAATTGAGTATTATCAAAAAATTGCTTCATTATTTGTGAATTTAATTTTAGGATGGGAGCTCTTTCTCTCTTCCACTATTTGAGACATGGCTGCGGTCTCATTTAGTGATTAATCCCTTTGGGAGTCAGGCAATGAAGGGAGGGGCCAGGGACAAGAAGTGTCCTTGTTTTCGGAGTGAGAGTTACGGACGAGTTGTATCCAATATACAACTGGCACCCAAAGGGTAATAGGAAAATAAATTATAATAATATTTAATGCTATTATTATTATTATTACTATTGCTATTAATATTTATAATTGTTATTAATTTTAATTATTATTAATATTATAATTATTATTTATTATTCAGATCTCACTCAGTTTTGTTGCATGGGATCACGAAGCAGACACTAGCAAAGGTTAATAACTATTAATAAACACTAGTTATTAATAGTTAATTAAGTAGGATCAGAGTGGGCTGGAAGGTGCTTCGGTTTACATAAGAAACTGCAAGTCCTCTTATATCTATCTCCTTGGACCAATAAAGTTAGTTCACTTTATCATTTTGCACTAATTTTTGCACCAATTTTTGTACATTATTTTTTGTATAATTTAAAACTTATTTTTTACATGATTACATGATTTACGCATAGTCTTGTTTTCAAAATTTTTATTTTGCACCAATTTGTACATAAATATTATAATTTTTTGCATTACTTAATTTTTTTGTAATTTCTTTTCTTGCATGGTACCTGGTATACTGTAGGTCCATTGTGATTGAGAAGTGTTCAAGATGTGTCCTAGTATTAGGTACAGTGGAGAGGAGCATTATCATCAATAACTGCAACGCTCTCTGTCTTGTAACTGCTTGCAGGAGATTACATATGAGGTAAGCAGGAGTGAATCACTATTATCATGATTACTATTATTATTATCATTATTGCTCTACCTATTGAAAAATATCTGATACCTTTTCAAGTGCACACGGTCAAAATTCTAATTGCCAAATATTTTAAATGCCATGTCTTTTCAAAAATAAATTTGTCGAATTTTTACACTCTCAATTTTCTAGCTATGCAGTTTATGAATTTCCCTTCTCCTCCTCTTTCATCCTATGTCCTTTCTTGTAGCTCTACCTCTCATTCAGCCATTCACCTCTTAACGATGACGCCTCCACTACTCTTCCCCAGTAATCGTGATATCATCTTTGCTCCATATAACACTTACTATCCACAACTTGAGACTCATTTGGCCTCCGCTGGTCTCTCGCCGGACATTAACATGTGGGACAAGCCACACCTACTTTCGCCGGGCTCTGATTGGTCGCTGATGGATCCGAGGAACTTTTATTCCATGGAAGTTCCTTTTGTAATGGAAGGAGACACAAAGGTTAGTGAATGTGGTCATCTTAAGTTCTTAAAGTAATCTTTATCAGTGTATTAGTATTGTTAATGGTACTGGTATCATGATCATCTTTATGTTCTGCTTGTAGAGAAATCCGTGCAAGCTCCCAACGGTTTATAAAGAAGCATTGATTCAAAGACAAAGGTGGGGAGGATAAAAGGGGAGAGTGGAAATATCTAGAATTGCCCCAGACTTATTGTCTTTCACCAAATACTTCTATTACATGTTCTTATGCATATTGATGCCCTAGCCTTGTACCATGTAGAAAGTGCTCATCAATTCCGTTAAAGCATCTTAGAATTTTGATATTAATGCCCTTATGTCATGTACCGGTGTAGAAAATTTTAACCAGTTCTGAAAGTTATTTTTTGAGACTAAGAAATTCGTTTTTTTGAGTAGACGAATCGCTGAGTGGCAACAAACAGTCAAAGACGCTCGTCTCTCACAAGAAAAGCAACAACAACTTCAAAAAATCATACAAGATCGATTCAGAGTTAGTTAGTTAGTATAGCTGCTTTTATTAGTTAAATGATTATGTCCTACTCTCCCCTCCCCCTCTCTCTCTCTCTCTGAAGGAATGGCTAGAAGCTACAGGACATCAAAGAGAGATTTATGATTTAGGACATGATCCAACGGCTGGTTCTAACACTTCTACGATGAAATGAACACGGAAAGAATAAAATAACAATGAAACTTGTTAGATATGATATAATACGTGTATATCCACACATCACCCACACAAACATGGCCTAACCTGTCATAAATTAAAATTGCATCTATTTTGCTTGAATATCTATCACTTATGTATTATGTTATAATAATAGATATAATTTCACTGTCTCAGACTTGGTGGGAAATTTTTAAAAATATATTTTAAATGCAATAATTATACTACTTACAATACTCTTACTACATACGCTAGGTAATTTCATATGATGACTTTGATGTGGAAATACTGTTGTATCACTAATGCTTTTTGACATGCAGAGATGCTAAACAAATTTGTGTTAGCCTATATTTGCATAAAAATAGGAAGGTCTGAATTATTCATATAGAGACACTTTATATCGATAAATAATAACAAACTCAATAATAATATACTTGTTATTAAAGTTCCCATTTTTAAAACAAAAAATAAGAAAGTGAGAAAAGGAGTCAAGAAGAGAAAAGAGAGAGAGAGGAAGAAAGAGAGAGAGAGTAAGGAAGTATTAAAATCTATCATCGATGATTATTCTATTCATTATCCTGTCACTTCGTCTTCTTCATCTTCAGAACAACTCATAAGTTCATCTAAAACAGAAAAAAATATGAACATAAATGCACCGTACAGCTGGTAATTTTGAAGGGGGTAAGAAGTACTAATTTTTTTTGTGATTGGTGGGACTTTGATTTGGTGAATTTGTGGCCGTAAGCCATTGAACATGTGCATAATAATGGTTCAAAAATGGTGGGTTTATTTTCGTGAATGGCTATAATTATCCTCATCCAAAATGACCAACTATACGGTAATTCCTTATCTCTATACATAACTACACAGCCTTCCATCTTCTCCCTCTCTCTCACTGTCTTACCAAATACAAATTCTGATTTGATTTTTCTTGCCAACCCATAAATATCTGCAAAACCCCATATCGGTTTATCTAAAGGTAGTCCGGTCCATCCTACGCCTTTATCATCGTCGTCAATAAAATAATGCAACTCTCCTTCCTTGTTAATGCTACAAGCGACAGACTGGCCTACACGAAGAGATTCCAAGTTAAAGTCTACTCTTCTCTCTTGCCCTGAGCTGTGGACAGTGCTGGCAGAGAGGATCCAATAATTTGAGCTACGATATAAGTCTAGAGCACCCGAAGGGACTTCGATGTCATCCGGACATTCTGTCGTAAGTCCGAACCGCTAAATATAAAAATTAGTCTTTTTATAATTACATACGGCAACATTTTAGTACACAATAATAATAAAATAAGAAATTGGTCACAAGTAAATGAACAAAAATAATTTTAACAAGTATATATCACGTGACTTACAATAGACCCAGCCCATCCACCTCCTTTGTCCAGCAATCTGACTTTATACATTGCTCCTATGCTTATTGGTCGCTCTGTGAAGACAACAGCTTTGTTGTAGCTCTCCACTCTGTGTGCTACCGTTCCGTTTTCGAGTAGGCGGACGTTTGAGCCGTGTTTCTGGTGAAATCCTCCGACTCTACTGGTCATACTCTGTCATAGTCCTTCTACAGGAGCACGACATTACAATATTACCCTCCTTCCCCCTTCCGGATAATTAGAACATACTAGGATATCCCGTTATTTTAACCGTATATTCATCGTATACTTTAATCACGTGCGCCCACGTGTCTCTAACAATCGCATTATTTATAGTTTGAAGACAAGTAACAATAGGTAGTACATCATTAATGTGGAGGAGAGGTAAGGAAAGTACGATAATTAAGAAGTGTTTCCGCCATCATTAGTGGCAACAGGCTCAACAGCTTCTGTCTTCTTCTTGTCATCATCTTCAACCTGTGATTCATCCTTGGGCTCATCTGTACTCTTATTGTCGCCAGCCTGTGTTCCATTACCATCGTCTTTTGTACCTACGTCCAGTTTTTCAAGATCGCTGGTAAGATTAGTCGTTGGGTCATCGTTGGTCATTGTTGTATTAGCAGATGATGGAATGTTCTCCTGGGCAGTCTCAAAAACATCTTTAAACTGTCTTGCAACTAAAAGAGAAAAAACAAATAAAAACTATTGAAATCCAGAAGAATATTACACATTAAGGATCATGTACAGATACATAAATAGAACTACTTCATCAGAAAGAGCTTCTTAGCCCAGTAATTTAAAATGTTGAGGACCATGTGTTAATGGAGTCATTAAATTTACTTTCGGCATTTTTGAATCGAATTGCCAGCTGTTCTTTCTTTGGCTCTTCGTCGGCGAAATCAGCCAACACAGTGTAGACCCAAGCTTTGTCACTGCCTGCACATGGGATCAGGGACATCTCCTTCGTCACTAAAAGAAGAGGAATTAAAAATAATTGAATATAAATTGAAAATTTTTCAGAGCCTGTAACTAAAAAAGTTGTCAAAATCGGCTTTAAAAGTTTCTACGTAGCAAAAGAATATGTTTCCAAAAATGTAAAATGGAGCAGTTTCGACAAATATTTAAATGCATTGGAAATGTAAATTCATTTATAACACAATGTCATTTTTATATTATTTCTTACAAAGATGATTGGCACAGATTTTGTGAGTTTTATCTCTTCTCATGATTAGACGAACGTTCTGAGTTGCTTTGTTTTTCATTAGCTTAATATCACCAATCCCTCTCTCTTTCCACTCTGGGGGTTCATTAGCCGACTCAAATCTGAATAACTTTGCACGTCTAAAATAAGAAAAAAAAATTAATCAGACTTTTATGCAAAAATAACATTAATATGATGCTACAATTAATTTAACCCTTTCGTATAAAATGGGCTATTCGCAATGGCAAAACTTTTAATAAAATTAGGAGTAACCACCTATTAACATAACGACCACAAATAATCAAATTATTTAAAATCAAACAAAACATGTAACACAGCGACGTGGTGATTTAGTATGCACGTATCTCTCACAATTTAAGAATCTCTTCTTCGTTGTCTTCCAGTGTGTTTAGCTTCATCAATGGAAGATTGACTAGAGGCTTGAAATCAATCTCAGGACTCTCGACAACTTCTTCATTCTCCTATCAAAAGAAGTATAAATTAATTTTTAAAAGGCTGTTCTTACTTTATCAGCATCGGTAGACATTTTAAAAGAGATTGGATTTTGGGGTGGACCACAGACTGTCACACACAGGCAGCACGTGTCTAAGAGTATACGGAGCTATACGGGAAGGTATACTAGAAACTACTGTGTTATACAAAGATAGGCGGGATTTGAAAGAGGTTCGTAGAAAAACCAATAATGAATTCTGTAGATCCTTTTGAAGACTTTCACGACATGTATGATGCTGTAAGTATTTTAAAAATAAATATAAAATAATGTTGTTAATTAATTAAATCAATAATTAATAAAGCACTATTCCCCGCCCCTTTCCCCGCCCCTAGCTCCCACCAGCAAGACCCACTGGTAGTGTAAACGGTGTTAATTTGGCCGATTTGGAAAAGACAGGAATTGAGTTGGAGGTTGAGCCTAATGCGTATTCGGGCGGAGAAGAGGAAGAGAACGAGAAGGAGAGACTCAAGAATTACAAATCTGATGAAATATGGCAGCACGTTAACCCGGAGTGTATGCAGGCTCCCGACTCATCAGTGAGTATTGGTTATTGATAATTAATTTTAGACAAGTAATAATTTTCTGATTTTATTATTGAATTTTTAGTATCTTGGGACCTAATTAGTTCCTATTCCTTGGGGAAAATTATATAATGATTATATTTACTCTTGTTTCTAGACATAGTGTATTCTCTCTTTAACTATGGGGGAAATGACAATAATTCTCCCCCTCTCCTTTCTCTCACTTATCTCATTTTTTACCCATAGACTCCCTTTGATCATCTTGAGTCAATCATGGATGATATTACCAGTGGACAGGGTATGGTGTTTAAGAAGATTATTCGTCCTGGAATAGGACTGAGCATACCTGAGGGAGCAACTGTGAAAGGTAAAAGAGAGAGAGAGAGAGAGAGAGAGAGAAATAACAATAAGAAGAGGGAGAGAATTAGAGAGAGAGATTAGATGTTGAATAAAACTATAATATGTACTTATACGTGCATGTAAGCCACTTCGATTGAATTCATATTTTCTTTTCATTAAAAATTAGCAATACAAAAAATCATTAAATTGCATGTATATATATATACAGTAAGTGAAATGATGAATCACTGATGATGATGACATGCAAATGCATAGCAAAACTCAAATGAATCTACATATACATACATGTAATTGAAATGTCCTGAAAATTATAATCTCTCTTCCTCTCTCAACCTCTAGTTCATTATAATGGATACTTGGAATATTCTGATGAACCGTACGACTCGACACGATTGCGTAACAAACCACTTACCATTCGTCTGGGTACCCATCAAGTTATTGAAGGGTGGGTGTGGTTTAATAAATATTGATTAATTAATTAGTAATTTGTATTATTATTAATTTTATGTAAATGAATGAGCAATTTTAGTATTATATTTAATTAAGATATTATCTGTTTCTATCACTAGATTGGAAGTGGGTGTGGCTAGCATGAGAAAGGAGGAGGTGTCTCAATTTCTTGTGAAGTCTCCCTATGCCTTTGGGGACATGGGTTGTCCCCCACGAATACCGCCTGCAGCTTCAAGTTAGGGAAAATTTAAATTGATTGTGATCAAATTGGATTTTTACAAATTTTTAAAGTTGCTCCAAAATTGGACAAAAGTCCCTGTACTATAGTACATGGTTTCAGGCCAAATTTTGCCAAAATTGAAAAGGAGAGAATTCTCCATTTTTATAACTTTTCTGATGCATATACATGTACTTATGTTATGTAAAAAGTTTGAATTGATTCTGATCAAAATTGGATTTTTTACAAATTTTTAAAGTTGCTCCAAAATTGGGTAAAAGCCCTTGTACTATAGTACATGGTCCATGGGCTGTGGCAATAATTTAATGTTCTGGACTTTATGTTTGTACATTTAAATTTTTTTCCCTTTTTTCTTCAGTTCTTTTTGAAGTTGAAGTCCTCTCCTTTGTTGATCACAGTGCTGCTGACAGTTATGACGAATTACCTGATGAGGATAAGGCCAAAGTTAGCCTTAAGGAAATTGTAAATGTCGCCAATGCAGAGAGAGAGGTAAGAACTGAAGTTTTTTTGTAATAGAAACATTTTGTGGTGACTTTGATTATTTAAGCATTAATAATGTAATTTAAATCATGTTTTTAGGCTGGTAATGATTTTTTTGGACAGAAAATGTATGGAAGAGCAACCAATCACTATATTAAAGTAATAATGAATTGCTTCTCATTATAATTGAAACTTGTACACCATTTACTATGCATATGTGGATACAATTCTCTCTTCCTTTAGGCAATACGGCTTTTAGAATCTTCAAGACTCCAAGACGAAGAGGAGGAGGAGTTGTGGAAAGACTCACTAATGAAGTTATACATTAACTTGTCGCTGACTAACTTGAAGCAGCGAAAACCGAAATGTGTCATCACAAATTGCAGAAGAGTTCTGGAGCTGAAAGATAATAATGTGAAAGCTACTTTCACTCTTGCTAAAGTACAAAGTCTTCAATCTCATCCTCATTTTTTGAAACCCTCTTCTTTGTCTCTATTCTGTATCTTCTCATATATATATGTGTGTGATCAAAATAGGCTTTCTCGATGCTTGGAGAATGGAGTGAGTCGAGGAAGTATTTGGTCAAAGCAATCAAGCTCTCTCCTAATAATGCTGAGATACGCAAGGAAATGGCAAAACTTGACAGGTAAACAGTCACGTGTACGTTTCAGTAAAGCTCATACCCTAGAAGTAATAAATATTTTACTTGTGTGAATTTTTGTGGATGGAAGAATTCACTTTTTAAAATATTTATAATTGTTAATTATACTTTGGTAGTAGTGCTGAAACTGCTGGTTCTAATCTTCTTGGGTTTATTTTTGCAATTTCGTAAATTTAATAAATGTAACTAGCTAGCACTGGCTATACGTCAGGCCACAAAAATGAAGTTGTAATCATCTCAGTAAAAAGCACCACACATAATGATGCTATCATTATTATTAACTACGTCACTACGTGGAGTAGCGAATGTCTCAGATTAATTTGTGTTTATAGTGTGACAGTTTACTTTGTCTGTGTTCCATTGTTATTCATTTATTGCGTTGCTTGTGCAGCGAATGTTTATTGTAAGCAATGGAATTTGTTTGTTTGTGTTTCTTATGTTTTTGTAATTTTTGGTACCTAGCCACCTTCACTACGACAGCAGTGATATTGCAACTATAAAGTATTACTTCTAAAACATAATATTATTGTTCTAATTATAAAACTGCTATGCTACTACTATCAAATGAGTTTTGTTACCATACACAGTAATAAGCTACACACAATAATAATGTTCCTTTACTTGACATAAATTTCATACAATTGAACTGGAGTATCTTCATTATCCCAGTTACTATTACCACACACCCTCAGTTCAATGTAATCAGTAATGGTAGCATTACCATAATCTCTGAAGAACCATGGAAGACCAGTACCAGTACAACAAGGAGCTTCAACTGAAGGACAGTTATTCCCATCCCACAATGGATCACCAGTGTATACGGTACCATAGGAAGGAGCACTGTTTGTACCTGACTCACAATAGTAGTGCTCTCCTACAAATGATGGAACTGTATCAGTTGTTCCAGTATTGCAAGGACAGGCATGGTCTGAACTGCTGTCAGACCTTAACCCAGCCATATAGGACCAGACATGTTGACGAAGTGATCCACGTGTGATACTGACTCCATCGAGGTAAGTACCATTAATATTGATGCCATTGTGAACAGCATCAGGTGTTCCTTTTTGATATCCAACCACTTTACCACATATTTGACTATAACTGATACCATTTGTTTGGAATACATTAGACCTACAACCAGCAGAATCACCCTCTCTCCTACAAACTCTAATGCCTCCAGTCAACCATTCCTGAAGTCCAGAAGGACAATTCTGAGAACTATCATTCATATCAAGATAAGCTATTCTTGTCCATCCTCCATCTTGTCCACACAGCTCTCCCATATTGCAGTATATATTGCGACTGTTAACATAATAGTAACCAGAAGGACTGTTGGGATGAGCTGCTTTAATATCTTTACAAGAAACCATGGCAGTTTGAATAGAGGATCCATTCTGTATCTCTAGTAATTCATTGACTATTAGTAGTACATCATTAACAGCAGCAGCAGTTGGTATACTGATATCTTTAATAAGACTAGTGTTCAGTAATTGAAGTAGTTCATCTGTAGACCTGTTGGTATTATTAGCATGTACCATAATCTGTTGAATTATGCTATTCATTGTATCCTGTATCAGTGAGAGGTTACTGTTAACATTGTGATCATTAATCTGTTCCATGATATATTCCACATTACTTTGGAGAAGTAACAAGCTATCTTTAGTAACACAGTTTTCCTTTATATCCTCCACATTTTTCTGTATCAGTGACAGGTTACTGTTAATAGCAGTATTACCACTATTAGTGAGGCCAGCACTATTACTGCTTGTATCACATGTACATGTACTCATGAAGGTATCTTTTGATATTAAGTTAAGTACAAGTATAGCTACCAATAGAAATATTATGATCACCAGTAGAATTATTATTGCAGCAAATGACTTCTTTCCTACAGTATACTGCACTGGTTGTTGAGGAAGTTTGGTATACTTAACATTAGCTTTTGGTAGCTGATAATCTAATGAATATATCATACATTAGTTTTAATAATAAATTACTTGTATGGTATATACCTGAGTAGTCCTGAAGATCTGAGTACATTGCTTCTTCAGTACTAGTATGAGTCTTTACTACTGGTTGATAGGCTGTGTTTTGTGTTAGCTTCATTTCTTCATTGAAATCCTTAGCTTCACTTTGAAAGCTTGTTGACATTGTATTGTTTTCCATCTCTTCACTAGCTATGCTTATAGCTATCTAAAGCTCTTTATATAATTTTGTTTTTGTATTTATAGTTGGCAATGAATAACAGCACATTTTTTCATTATAAACGGCAAGTCAAAGAATGTAGTTTATATCTGGCTTTTGCTAGTTTCAAATCTTAGTTATGATCAATTTACACAATAATAATTATTATGTATATGTGTGTTTCTACTAATGACAATCTCTTTCATCTGCTTTAGCAAAATCCCAAACCCTCAACACACAATCTTCTCTACAAAAAGCATTACCTTCTGATTGGTTAACTCTGAATCTTCTTTAGAATCTGATGCTTTGGTAGATGGTAGAAAAGAATGATAGAAGTACAGCATTTGGCATAGTAAAATTTTAAAAATAAATCAGCTTTGTATATGCAGTATGTTTGTTTGCTTTCGGCATAAGCATGTGGTATATTGTTTATGATATCTTTTGCTTTCACTTAGTTTGCACTTTTCAATAATATATAATTATTATTATTCGTCTGTACAGTACTAATGACAATTAATGTTCTACTAACAAAGACAATACACTACTTATAATTATTAATTGTTCCTTTACTTGACGTAAATCTCATACAATTGAACTGGAGTATCATCATTGTTATGTCCCTCATGACCACACACCCTCAGTTCAATGTAATCAGTAATGGTAGCATTACCATAATCTCTGAAGAACCATGGAAGACCAGTACCAGTACAACAAGGAGCTTCTTTTGAAGGACATTTATTTCCATCCCACAATGGATCAGCAGTATTAATGAAGTTATTACTTGGATTATTACTATTTCTACCTGACTCACAATAATAGTGCTCTCCTACAAATGATGGAACTGTACTAGTTGCTCCAGTATTACAAGGACAGGTAGAACCTGTATTGACATCAGACCTTAACCCAGCTATATAAGACCAGACATGTTTACGAGGTGACCCACATGTGATACTGACTCCATCAATATAAGCACTATTGATATTGTTGATATTGCCAGGGTTGACTCCATCAGTGGATCCTTTTTGATATCCAACCACTTTACCACATATTTGACTATAACTGATACCATTTGTTTGAAATACATTAGACTTACAACCAGCAGAATTATCCTCTCTCCTACAAAGTCTAATGCCTCCAGTGAACCATTCCTGAAGTCCAGAAGGACACTTCATAGTCATGTCAAGATAAGCTATTCTTGTCCATCCT